CCTTGAAAACTGCAGGGACTCATCCAGGCAGTCGCCGCAGAATCGGTAACGATTGAGTGCGAATTAAAAAAAAATTTGTCACTAAGTGAGGCCTCTCAAAGGCAGCCTTTATGTGAGGGCACGTACAGCGCACTGTCAAAATAAACAAGATTTTTGGAATTTTAAGTTGTGGGAAGAAATAGTCAGCTTCCCATGAACCATAATACCAGGCTGCTCAGTCCTTACTGTTATGTTATTTTTACTAGCTTTAAAAAATATATCTATGACTCAACAGCACAGCACCCTTGGCTTCATCTCAGAGTTCGAGTTGCCTGTAGTTCCTTTGGTTAAGCATGCGGCCAATCAACCACACAGTAGGACTGGCTGATATTACAAATGTTGTTTTAGAGGTGGGCTGAGAAGAAGTGGGGTTGAAAGAGTTAAGGAAACTCACCTGAACTCTGTTCAAATGTAACACTAAACCTTGGCTTAGCATAAGAGGAGCTCTTCTTGATATGCCATTTGGTATTTGGTTTGGTATTACATGTAGACGTGGCCCCTGAAATAAACTTTATGCTCTGCTTCAATTATTTAATTCTAGATAGATTTGTGTTAAAAAAATGCTGCTAAAGAAAAAACAGGATATAAATCCAACAAATTAAAAATAGAAAAATGAATATATCTGAATGGGGAAAGGACGGCTTTGTGGATCGCAGCTGTGGGCATCGTGGAAGGATAGGGGACAAGTGCTCATATGAATCTGTGTGCTGGGCTTTCAGATCATGGTTTCAAATGGTGATTTCTTGGTTCATACTTAACTCTAACTCAGTGTTTCTCAACCTCAGCAACTTTAAGCTGTGTGGACTTCAACTCCCAGAATTCCACAGCCAGCATGGGGAATTGTCCTACTGCTGAATCTTGGAAAAGATGCAGCTCCTTTCAAGAGATAGGTGCGCTCTTGCACGCACCAAAGCACCCTTTTGGAATCATATCCAAAATTATGTACAGCCCTAGAACAGTCTTCCTGCCTCTCCTTTCTGGATAAAACTTGAGCTACAACAGCCTCCAAATGGAATAAGGATGGATTCTGGAAATCTCGTTCAACACAGTGTGACTTCTGAGTAGACTCACCCAAGAATGAAGTATAAAGGGTTAGATCAGTGTTTCTCAACCTTGGCAACTTCAACTTGGGTGGACTTCAACTCCCAGAATTCCACAGCCAGCATGGGGAATTGTCCTACTGCTGAATCTTGGAAAAGATGCAGCTCCTTTCAAGAGATAGGTGCGCTCTTGCACGCACCAAAGCACCCTTTTGGAATCATATCCAAAATTATGTACAGCCCTAGAACAGTCTTCCTGCCTCTCCTTTCTGGATAAAACTTGAGCTACAACAGCCTCCAAATGGAATAAGGATGGATTCTGGAAATCTCGTTCAACACAGTGTGACTTCTGAGTAGACTCACCCAAGAATGAAGTATAAAGGGTTAGATCAGTGTTTCTCAACCTTGGCAACTTCAACTTGGGTGGACTTCAACTCCCAGAATTCCCCAGCCAGCATGGCTGGCTAGGGAGTTCTGGGAGTTGAAGTCCACCCAAGTTGAAGTTGCCAAGGTTGAGAAACACTGATCTAACCCTTTATACTTCATTCTTGGGTGAGTCTACTCAGAAGTCACACTGTGTTGAACGAGATTTCCAGAATCCATCCTTATTCCATTTGGAGGCTGTTGTAGCTCAAGTTTTATCCAGAAAGGAGAGGCAGGAAGACTGTTCTAGGGCTGTACATAATTTTGGATATGATTCCAAAAGGGTGCTTTGGTGCGTGCAAGAGCGCACCTATCTCTTGAAAGGAGCTGCATCTTTTCCAAGATTCAGCAGTAGGACAATTCCCCATGCTGGCTGTGGAATTCTGGGAGTTGAAGTCCACCCATCTTCAAGTGGCCAAGGTTGAGAAACACTGGGTTAGATGATATTACAAAGCACCTCTTTTACCTGGAAAATAAATTTGGAAAGCCTGCTGTGGATACTCACAAACAGTTCACTTACAAAACACCCACTTACCATAAAGCAAACAGGTAAAATCTTTCTTTCCCTCTTCTGACTCCCAAGATCCTTCCTCCCCCTGGCCCTCACATTTGTTTTTTTGACTTTGAAGACACGTCTAAAAAAGTCCTGGACAATAGCCATCTCCCATTTTTATTTTCTAGTCTACAGGACCCAGAAGCATTCTTGTAAATGCAGGTAGTCTCCAGGTTAAGAACACCAGGTTACAGATGACCCATAGTTAAGAACGGAGCCTACTGGAGCAACATTTGATTTAAATACACAATGATCTGAGTTAATTGCACAATACTACTTTTATAGAGTATTATACAATAATACTGTTCCAGCTTAAATACAAATTCGACTTAAGGACAGACCTTGGGAACGGAACTCGTTCTTAAACTGGGGACTCCCTGTAAAATGAAGTTAATGCTCTGCTTTGCAGTAAGCCCGTTTCCCATTAATTTTTTAATTAAAAGAATCTTTCAACAATACCTTCTCTTGAGACCCTTCTCTCTGCTTTTTACCATGCAGCCGAAGGTAAGAATTGTTCTGGTGGGCTGCTAAACCCAAAGTGAGTTTGTTCTTTTCAATAAAGTCTTTTTCAGATCTTGGCTTTGGTACTTTTAACTGAATCCTGGAGCCACTGCTGGTCAAACTGTCATTGCTGTTATAATGGTAGACAATCTCTGGTTCTCTTCCTTTCTTATCCAGCCTGAAAGAGCCACCCCAGCCATCTGCAGGTTCATCACAAGGGATCCAGAATTCTCTAGCGATTACTGATGGTATATTTTGGGGTCTTTCCTGTAACTGGCAGTTTCTGGATACGAACCCCTGGGAAGGATGGCAGGCCAACTCAAGGGAAGTGAAGCTAGAGCTTTTGCACTCCTCCTGATGCGATTCTTCTAACTCAAGAAAGCTTCTTCCTTTTTCACTATCCTTCCAGTTGGGATCATAGCGCAGGTCAGAATACTTGTCCGTAATTTCCTCATTAGGGCTAAAAGCAAACCAAATGGTGAAGACAAAATTAAGAAGTTGGCCAAGAGAATCACTGTTTTTAAAGACTCTTAAAATCTCATCTTCTTTCTCCCAGACTAATTCATGCAAGATGGAGGAGGCTTAAGGGTGCTTTCTCAAGGGAGGCGATATTTTATTTGTCCTGATTCAAATGCACTTTACTGTGATTTAAACACATGCTGTAAGCCATTGAGGTCTGAATCTGAATCAAATCGTGCTTCTGAGCACCACTTTCTTCACTCTCTGCATCCATTGGAGATCAGAGGACTAGAATTCTGTCCTGAATGAGGTCGGGTAATCAAAACTACACACACAACACCAGTTTAACCCCAAAGCAACCTTCCCTAATCACACACACTCCTCATGCGCTGAGACTCCCAAGCCAGCATGGAAATTGGGAAATCTGCCCTCCCATTCATCAGATTCGGGAAGCCTGCTCTGGGACAAGCTTAATACTATGACTTACAATTTATCCTGTAGCAAACTTCGGTGGATTCTTGTAATAAGTTACACAAAAGATCGATTGTGATCTTCAGTCATATTTCCGCATGTTTGGGCAATGCTCTCACAACTAGCAATAATTATTCCTAAATGTAAATGGGTAACATCTTGATGGTTGGGGGCAGGACATGGATTTCTTATTTTGTTTTTTTAAGGAGACTTGAGGATAGCATGGGTGGTGCACAGAATTAAAGCCAGCCTCTTCAGGGTTGTTGAGAAACCAAAAGGAACACGTTAGAGACAGATCCTCCTGGAGAAAGTCTATCCACGTGGTCGCTAAGAGTCAACAATGACTTGATGGTACTCAATCAGTCACTCATCAATCTGTTTCATTAGGTGTTAGACCTTTCCTTTCCTTTTGTTTTTTCAAAACCCCAGGAGGCCATTTTCAGGACTTAAGCTACACAGTGCCTTAAAATGGCAAGAAACTATACCATCGATGTGGGGTAGTGGTGGCTGAAGAGCGTTCTGGGGGCTGCAAGAAAGATGTTCGGGAATGGGATTCACCCCTGGGTCTGTACGTTGCCCACCGTAATGGAAACAATATGCAGGCAGAAAGTGATTCTGTAGATTTCAAAACCCAGAAATAGGTCATACTTGGCAGCCACCCACAGCAAAAAATGGTCCCGTACAAACTCTTTGTATGACTGTGAGAGCCAAGGCACAGCTAATGATTGTTTTGCAAAAGGAATCTAAATGAAAGCAAACCGTTTCCTCTCCAACGCACTTTCAGTTAAAATGATTTTCCCCCCTCTGTGTTCCTGGGTCTACCCATCTTCCACTACATACTGGCTGCGCTGTGAGTTGCACACCGCAGAACAGGCGCACCGGTCCACCTTCTGAAGTTGCTAGTGGGTACGGGTATCGTAAGCATGCGTTACACTTGTCAACATTAATGGACTCCATCTGAGCCGGCACTAATTTGGAAACACATCAAATCAAATTTCCTTTGAATGGCACGTTCTATGCTAGGTCAGGATCCTGCCGGCTCTGCCTGATTCAGGCCGTGGTCCCCATACAATTAGCATCCTTTCCTGCTTGCGATAAAAACATTCAATAACTATCCACTTTGCCCATCGAAGAGGCATATGGGAAGTGTGCTGTTCATAATGAGACTCCCTTTTTCTCTCTGCTGTTTGTCTCTAAGCAGGGCATTAAATGGAACATGTTTATCATTTTTCAATTCAGGCTTAATTTAATCCTTTGAAAACCACCATTATTTTGCATTTATGTGGCATTAATGCTCTGTTGAGCATGACAAATCCAATTTTCTATTTGCACAGAAGAGGAAAGTTAATGCAGCTCTCAGGACAAGTGAGGAATGTTTTAATTTTGCACTTATGCAGTTATTGAATAAAAAGGGACAACTGTTCCGCTGGTGCTGTCCCCCAAAATCCTTCAAAATAATAATGTTTTCCAGAATGATACAGCCTAAGATCTCTTGAATATGGCAGCCCTGTGTATATTATTTGAAATCAATTAAATTTATAGCCATTAACTTGCCACTTATTCAGCTAACTACTTATAAAATGATTATCTGCATTTTCCAAGCAAAGGATGAAGAAAATGCTCACTATGAAATTGGCAAATGATAAAAAAGAGAATAAAATTGATACAAAGGCAGGATTAAATATAAGGCAAACGTACAGATTGGTGAATTAAAACACAGCTCATTAAAATCATACGTCTGGTATTACAAAGATCCAGAAATAGCCAAATAGGTTTCATCTGCTCCCAGGACAACTGTCTTATGAATAACTAAAAGGACACCATGTCTGTAGTAACTCATTCCTCTAAGCATTTATAATTACAGGTCGTCCTCGTTTTGCAACCACAATTGGGACTGAGAACTCAGTCATTAAGCGAAGTAGTCGCTAAGTCAATCTGCGACGGTGCTTACGATCTGACTTCAGCTTTATTTATTTATTTTTATTTATTATTCAATTTGTATGCTGCCCATCTCCCTCCAACGGGTGACTCTGGGAGGCTCACAATTAAAATCAGAAGCCCCATCAACAATTAAAAATCCCCCCATAAAGAGTTAAATAAATAATCCATTAAAAATCAAATCTAAACAACAAACCCTGTCCATAAATACTAAATTTCCTTTGCTTTACAGACCTGCAAAGGTTGTAAATGCCAGCATTGGTCGTAAAGCTACTTTTCCATCACCTTCATAACTGCAAATGGTCGCTAAACGAGGATGTCACTAAATGAGGACTGCCTGTATTTATTAAAAAAAATGTTAAGCTTCCAAGGGGGGGTAGATCCCTATCACAGACAGTATGACAATCCTTGCATCCAACTTTCTCACTGAAAAGCAAAGGAAAAAGAGAGAACAGGAAGAGGAGGAGGGAAAGAAAGCAGCATAGCTCAGTTCTTAAAGTCCTAGGGCTAATCACGGTCCCTCAGAATAAAAATCAGGCTGTCAGTTCTGTCCATAACGGAAGAATCAACCTATGGAGAATAAGCCTCACTCGTTTTTGCTTAGGCTTACCTACATGGTTCTCCTGTGAACGGGGCAATTGCCCCGAAGAGAGAAAAAACAGAGGAGGAACACTGCTTTGTCTGAACCCAGCAGAGATGGTGGGCTCGAGGATTTTAACCTCTGGAGATGGAAGAACCAACTTCGCCCCATTTACCTTGCATTTTCTGGATTCCCTCCTCCATCCTGGCCTCCCCTTGGCCTCCGTGTTTCTTCCCCATCGGACCCTCCTTCTTCGCTCAAGTGTGACGTTTCTTCCAGACTGTCCTCCTCCATGCTCTCGTCCGCCTGTTCCCGACAGGCCCGACTGACCCGTTCTTGGTTTTTGTGGATCCGTTTCTGCAGCTCCCACTGATACCGGGCCTCCTGAGCCAGGCTTTCCGAATCCGATTCGTTCTGGGACAGCCCTTCCGATGCTGTTTCCAGGAAAGAGTAGCGTCGGTGGGCTTCGGTCAGCCCTTTTGGCGACGGGCTGCCAGCGTTCATGTTGCCAAGGAAAGTTCAAGCAAGAGACCCGAAGGATGTCCCCCTGTTTTCTGTAAAGCCAACCGTATCTTAAGAATCGTTTCCAGTCGCGTCTCGACTTTAATCCTTTGGCCGTTTTCAGTGCATGCGCCTGAGAGCAAACATCAAAGTATTAGAGACGTGAACATTTCACAAGGCGTCGGAGTGCAGAAGCTCCAGGTTTTAAAGGGTTGGATTTCAAGATGTATTCTTATCCGGTGAGACGGGCGGCATGTGTAAATTTGATTAATACATTCATAAATGATAAATAGATCCTGCACGTCTTCCGAAAGTGTAAAACCTGAATATGGATGTAAGTGGGTCTGGGAGAAATCTAATGGAAACACGAAGGTGAGATGAGGGGCTATATCAATTGAATGAAATCGAAGTCAGTCGATCAAATAATAATTAAGCAGCTGATAGGGGCCAATCCCTATGGTTAGGCTTCCTGAAACCGTTTGTCAGCAGGCCTTGCACGGCACCCCCGCAGTTTGCGTGTGTCTCTCCGGGTGTGAATGTTCATCTTTGCACAACCCTCTTTCTCCACCCCAGTGAAGTTCATCCCAAAGACACGGGATGCGGCGTGTGGCGACAGGCTGGCTGCGCGCTTGGCGCAATAGAGGCGCGCAGGCCATGCGGTCTGGGCTCACATCTTCGCACCTGCAGCCTTCCAGGGTGGCACCCTCCCCACCTGGGCACCCCGGAAGTGCAGGAGCGGAGGGAGGCCCAGCGTGCACCTGGAGGGGAGGGGAAAACGCTTTTTTCCACCGTTGCAAGAAGTCTCTCCCCATCTCAGTGACCCGGAGGCTGCTGCCACCAGGCATCTAAATGCCCACCCGGCTGTGGCAACCAAAGTGCCAGACTTGGCCTGAAAACCCTACCCACGGGCACTCCTTTTGGGAAAGGTGCACAGCTGGGTATCTTCGCATCTGCCAACCCCCCCCCCCCCTCCCCACCACCCTTCCCCGGC